GAATGATGAGGGCAACAAATGTATAGATGTGCGTTACACAATTGATCTATGTATTGTGATGAATTGTATGAGCCCCAATAAATTGATTTAAAAAATTTTTTGTATATCTATATAGTAGAACATTATTAGACAACAAAAGGGAACAAAGTATTTGTAAATGCCACAGTGTGGATGAAAACATGTCAAGTCAAAGAAACCAGTCACAAAGGCCACATATCTTGAATGACTCCATTTATATATCCAGAGTTGGCAAATTCACAGAGACAGAAAATAGACTTACGGTTCCCAGTGCCTGGTGAAGATGTCAGTTAAGCACGATGCTGATGAGTACAGACTGTCTTGTTGGGGCGCATAGTTGTGATGGTTGCGATGCCTGCTACCACCAAATGAGTTTAAAGTAAGAACAACCCTCCCTTTTGTACAAAACTGAGTGCATTTATAATTGGAATGCACATGTGTAAAAGGGAGAATGTGATGGTATGTGAATCATGTATCAATAAATCTCTTATTAAAAAGTAAGGGCAGTTAATTACATGTGGGGCAAAATAGCTTTCTTTATGTGCACTTTATTTGGTGCCTTAGATCTAACAATCTCAAATGACATTTCCCTTTGCTTTAGAGAAACAACGCCCTGCCTGATGAGAACAACGTTGCCAGGCTTCAGGAAGAGCTCATTGCTGTGAAACTGCGAGAAGCAGAGGCCATCATGGGTCTGAAAGAACTTAGACAGCAAGTCAGGGAGCTAGAGGAGCATTGGCAGGTAAGTCACGCGTTTTGTGGGCCTCTTAAAACGAGTAAAAGCCCAATAGGATATTTGTAAGGCTGTGAAGCAGGTGGATGCCTGGCACTGGGAAATGAGTTTCAAGCGAGAAAGGCTCTTCCTCATGTACAAAACTGAGAGCATTATAATCGCTTTAACTTCTAAATTCTTGTAATGAAATAAAAGTTCAATAGATCTCAAGTCGTATTTGTATGGTTGTTGCAACATTGTACCTTGTTTGCTGTAAAATCGTAGAAATCTTTATTAAACAAAACTGTCATGATGTGAAGTTAGTTTCTCAACATATCTTCCATCTAGGTCATTAACACCTTTAAAATTTTTTTAAATCGGGGGCTCTAAAAACTCATAACATTCTGTACATCAGTTGTATCAAGCATATTTGTTCTATGTTGCCATCATAATTTTCTAAACATTTATTTCTATTTGAGCCCTTGGTATCAGCTCCTCTTTTTCCCCTCCTTTCCCTCCCCCCCTCTTTGACCCCTTGATAAATTAGAAATTAGTATTGTTTTCATATCTTACACTGACTGCTGTCTCCGAACACCTGTTTCTGTTGTTCATCCCCCTAGGGAGGGGCTGGATTATGCACCTATCATTGAGATTGGTTTCCCTTTCCTCCCTCCACCTTCCCCCATCCCTCCTGGTATCGCTACTCCCAAATCTGTTCCTGAGAGGTTTATCTGACCTGGATTCTGTGTGCCATGAGCTCTTGTCTGTACCAGTGTACATGCTCCAGTATAGCCAGAACTGACATTTGGGACTGGGCTCATGATAGTGGTGGGTGAACCAGAAGAAGATTGTGTGTTCCATCGGTGCTGTTTGGGCCCTGGCTGACTCATCCCTTTGTTGTGACCCTTCTGTGGGGGGATGTGCTATTGTCCACAGATGGGTTTGGGGTTTAACATTGTACCTTTATAAAAATTCATCTATTTCTTGTATTGAAGAACTTTGAACTATATCTGAATAGATACACCAGGACTGCCATTCATGATAGGTGGCGTTCATGGAGTTATTTAATCACATTGTCTGTAATTTTATTTATGAAATGAAGATAATAGTGCTCATCAATTTTCTAGGGCTGAAATAAGATCATATAAATTGCTTATTATAGTAGTGGGCCCAAATAAAGTGACTGAGTAAAGCTCACTCTTGATTATGGTGCTAACAATATTGGTTGAACTTTGTTTTAGCGCCACTTAGCTCGTACCTCTGGGCGATGGAAAGACCCACCTAAGAAAAGTGCTGTGAATGAGTTACAAGATGAGCTGATGACCATTCGACTCAGAGAAGCTGAGACCCAGGCAGAAATAAGAGAAACTAAACAAAGAATGATGGAAATGGAAACACAGGTATGATGGGAAAGCCTGTTTGTTTTAAAAAATGTACATTAAAAAGTATTGCTAGAAGTTTCTCAAAAATGACCCCCCCCAAACCAAAAATGTACTGCCGTCAACCCGATTCTGACTTATAGCGACCCCTGCCCCCAATTTCGTTTTCAAAGAATAGCCGCTAAGATTTTATGTACAACATAAAAACTCGCCGGTTTTAGTTCCTTGGTTTGGAGGTCATGGCTAACTGGCCTCCACATTAACTGGCCTTAAATGTGTTTGGTGCTTCTGCCCTAACTTCTAGCTCATTTTATAGTGCTTGGGGTCTTTAAAGTTTGCCAGTAGCCATCCAAGGCACAGGAATTGGTCTCTCTTCATCTGGAGCCACGAAGAAAGGGGAGTTGGTGGTAAGAAGATATGAATGTGTGACTACGTGCTTCCATAAGCAACTGCCTCCTTTGTCAGGAGACCAGAAGAACTGGAAGGTGCCCAGCTACCATTGCTGGATATTTTGATCAAAGATTTCGTAGAAAAATCCTGAGCAAAACAGAGGAAATGAAAAATAGAATTTTAAATTCTCCAGACTTTCTGGAGCTGTGGGGTCTGTGTGAACCCCTAAAACTATTGCTCTAAGATAAATTTTAAACCTTAAACAAAAGTATCCCTCAAAGTCTTCTCAAAACCTCACGGCAGCTAAGTGAGTAAAAAATGTCTACTTGGAGCCTTATGCTCTTTTAAAAATGATTTCTCTTGCATCAAGTATTGAAGTTGTCAAGGATTTCATTTTACTTGGATCTACAGTCAATGCCCACGGAGGCAGCAATCTAATCAAATGACGTGCCTTGGGCAAAAGAACGCTAAAGTCAAAATGCAACTTTGAGGAATAAAATGTACCATAGTATTTTCAGTCCTCCCACATGCGTGTGAAATATGGGCAGTGAATTAATGGTCTTGGCAAGAGATATTCAGTTAATCTCTGAACTGCCAGAAGAAGGAATAAATCTGTCTTCAAAGAAGGATAGCCAGAATACTCCTTAGAAATGTGGATGGCAGGGCCTCATCTCACCTACGTTGCCCAGGTATCGGGAGAGACAGGTCTCTGGAAAATACATAGCATGCTTGGTGAAAGATGCAGACCCTTGACTAGATTGCTACGGTGGCTGGTACGTGGGCTCAGACATGGTAATGAAGGTGAGATGTTGTTACAGGACTGAGCAGCGTTTTGTTCTATGCACAGCGTTGCTGAGTTGGAGCCACTGATGTGGCATCTAACGGCATCATATGGAGTCAAAGTGACATAATAGCAACTTAAAAAATTAAATAGGAACCTTAGGAGTCCAGTGAACTTGTGTTAGCTGAGAAAAGGAGGGTAAGAATGGTTTCATAACTCAAAGAATGATTTATGTCACTGAGTTGTAAGGGTAGAAACAGTGCGATTTTTGTTTATTTTGCTCTGTATAAGGAGCAGTGGTGGTGCAGTGGTTAAAGTACTTGGCAACTAACCCAAATGACTGAGAATCAAACTCATCAGCTGTCCCACTGGCAGATAATGTGATGATATGCTTCCAGACAATAAAGACTCACAGCATTGTAAACTCTAGGGGGGTAGTGTCTCAATTAATGTTCTCTATTTTATTTCTCTGGGTTCTAATATCCATTGCAGTAGCTACTCAAAACTCACAGACAAAACTCATGATTCAAGGGTTTATTAAGGAAGTTACCAAGTTGTAATACCATTGAGATATGCTCAGGACAGTTGTTTATCAGGACATGTTATAAAGTTCTTTCAGGTCTGCTGATAAATACCCAAATGGGCATACCATTCCACTGGAAGCCTCAACCCGAAGGCAGTTCAGCTCAAGCTCTGTTGGTCAGCAAATCCAGCTCCCTGAATTAATTACTCAGTGGCACCCCACTTCAGTAAGCCTCAGTTGCAAAGGCACTTGCTCAGCAAGCCCAGCTTCCCCAATTAAGTGCCCTCCTGCACAAAATCATTCAGCTGGTCTTTGAGTTGTGAAGTTCGCTGCTCTGTTCCTGGGTTGGCTGCTATTTCTCTAATGTGATAGCTGTCATCTAGACCCAGCAGGTCACTGCACAGGGATCTTGGGTCCAGAGGACATTCTCCACTCTTGGTTCTTGCTGGTAATGAGATCCCTCTTCCTGGTTGTTGGAATGCTGATTTTATACACAGCAGGATGGCATTCCAGAGAATCCTGTTCACAAGTGAATCCTATCGGTCTCTCCCCCTACCTTCTTACCAGACTTAAGCAGGAAAAGGTCAATCAGTAGGAATTAGAGATTTTAATTAAAAGAGCCATGTTAAATAATTCACTGTTCCTGCAGATTTGCTATGACGCAGAATGCCCTTGATAACTACTATTAAATTCTGAGGACTAGCTATTCTATAATTTGGGGAATGTTCTGTGCATTGTAGGATGCTTAGTAGTAAACCCTTGCCCAGACAAAACCCTTCTTTTCCAGGAGTGATTACCAAAAATATCTCTAGGCATTGTCAAATGTTGTCTCTTGGGCAAAATTACACCCAGTGGAGAACCAGTGATATAGAACGTAATGTGAATGATGCTTTCTAAAGTTATATAATATATTCAATGCCAAAATCACACTCCATTGTTTTCAAGGCCTCCTTTTAATAAATCATATTATAAACATTTAATTTAAGATCTGCAAAGGCCTTTTTGTGAAACTTAATTGCATTTAAAAGCACATTTAATTTTTATGTGGGACGTTTAGGTAGCATCATAACACTATATTCTTGGTAAAAGTTACTTGGTTTTCAGAATACTAATTCAGTCAGTAGGGGGCATAGTTAACTCATCTATCATTTTGTATTACTGTGTACAAAATGATCATCCCAACTTAAGCATGATAACATGAATGTGGTTCCTTTATAATAATGAGGTTTTTCCTTAGCATAGATTTTAATGATACAAACATAGTTTTTAAGCCAGTGTCCACACCTTGTTTCAGAATGGATGGCGCTGAATGAATTAAATTCAGCATAGTTTTGAGAATTCGTAAAATGTGCAGGACTGCCCTAGACCCCAAAAGACTTATTTTAGACTTAGGAAATCAGACATGTACAAATCACACTGAATACAACTTAAGAGTAGAGATTTATATAGAAATTGTCAGGGGAAAAAATCTTGGGAGGGTGAGATTAATTCCAATTAGGTGAGAAAGAACTTGCTAAGGAATATGAATTTTGAACTGTGTTCAACTGAGTGTAATTTGGGTTGATTTTGATAGAAGAAGCACGAGGTGGCTTCAAAAAGCTTATAGAAAAACCGAGTTAAAAGATAATGAAATTTTTCCGATTAACTTTTTGATGCCTCTTGTGTGCCCAGTGTATGGTTGGTTACAGGTATTTTTTAAAATCTAGTCTGAAAGATAGTTGTGCAATTCTATGAATTTACTAATATCCAGAAAATTTGCTTTTAATGGGTAAATATTTTGTGTGGAATACGTTAGTAAAGCTATTTTAAAAATTCATTCTTGCTGTCTTTTTTAGCTACCACGTTTAGTCTTTGTTTTGTGATTCTACTTGGATTAATACCTACCACCTTACTAGCTCTTGTCTATTTGTTACATTAGTTTTAAATTTTTCTCTTAGGATTATTGGACATTAATTATGATTTCATTCTGTGTTAGGAAGGGTTCCCTAGAGAAAGAAAACCAGGACTCTTATGATTATATATAAAATCCTTATGATTTTATATAATATATATGGATAGGTTTATACAGCACAAAGGAATATAACCGCTAATTAGTCCACACAGCAGTACAGAGGGTTCAGTTCAACTTAGTTTTGTGGAACAGTTACTATATTGGAAGTCCAACTCATGAGAGCTGCCGGGTCCAAGGTCAAGGAAGCAGACAGTTGAGTCTTCCTCGGGCACATCAGGCAGAGTCCACCCACAGGCAGCAAACAGCAGGGCCAGGCACCAACAGTCAGCAGCTCAGGAGCTTAGCACAGCAGGCCCGGATGGGATATCAAACTCAAGCAATGCAAGATGACAGGATCCACCAGCCTCAAGCTCAAGCCGTGTGTACTCCAGCATCATGGTGAAGCAGGTCTCGAAGGAACCTCAAGCTCGAGCAACGATCCGCGGCCTGACTTGTCCCAGAGGTAGTGTAGCTCACAGGTTGAGGCAGAGAACTAGCTAAAGCAGCCACATTCTGGTCGAATCACCAGGGAGCAAGAGAGCGAGGGGCAGGCCTTATGTGCCACGGTACATAAGCTGAGCCATTTATCTCTTTGCCTTCCAATCAAACTGCCACCTGGTTAATCTCACATGTTCCTGTTGGCCAGGTCGGCAAATACACCTGCCTATCAAATATTTTATCTTCATGATTGACTTATTTATTTATATCTTTTTAAGTTTTTTATTAACAATTATTTCATTTTCCCTTTATTTTTTCATTTCATTGCTCTTGTTTCCTGTATGTAGATCCACATTTCTGTGTGGCATGGTCTTTCTGCTTCAACAGCTTCCTTTAATATTGATCTGCTGGCATTGAATTCTCTAAGTTTGGGTTTAAGGGAGTAAGTCTCCCAATTTAAAATTATAGGTACTTTTGGTGGAAATTAAATGCTGTGTTGACAGGTTTTTGTTTGTTTTCCCATTCAGCCCTAAATTACTTCACAGTTGACTTTTAAAAAATCATACAAGCCTTATGTTTATAATTTTAATTTTTGTTCTTATGTCTATACAAAAGTAAATCGAAAGGTGTTGCTATGAACTCCTAGAAACCTTAAACAAGAAAATCAAAACGTGAAGCTTTTGTTTCTTGACATTTCCCCACCGGGGCCTATGCTTTGGAAGGCCCTGTTTTCCTCACTCCAGCCCTTCTTTGAAGAATTCAGTGCTCTTTGATTAAATGCGTCCAAAGAGCAGGTTTGGCTTCCTCTTGGGCAGTGTTTCCTAAAATGGGCAATACTGCAGGGTACTGCAATGATCCAGGAGGACTGCAAAAGCAGATACTTACACTTTATCATGGATTACGTGCTACATAATGAAAACAGTGAAAACGTTTTTCATTGGTAGGGAGGTACTGAAAAGGGGGAGGTAGGCCAAATAAGTTTGGGAACTCATGATCTAGGGCCCTAAAGCCACATTTCTTTTCAATGTTCTTTGATTTGGGGGGACAAACAGAAGTCTGAAAGGGCAATATCAAGGCTGTCTGGTAGAAGGAGTAAGGTTTCTTAGTGAAATTCTCATAGAATAGCACTTGCTGCCCTTGCAGAATGAGCACGTATATTATTGTCACGGGGAAAATCCCTTGGCACATTTTCCTGGCCTTTTTTCTACCAAGGCAATTTTCAGTTTTCTTAGAACTTCTTCCAAATAAGTCAGCCCCTTGTAGCCTCTCACCACGCTGATTCAGTTGTGTCCTCTCACCATGCTGCTTCAGTCTGTGTGCTGAGGACGTCATCAGAAGAACTGTATTAAATGAAGAACAGCTCAGCATCAGGATTGGAGGAAGGCTTATTAACAACCTTCCATATGCCGATGATAGAACCTTGCTTGCAGAAAGTAAGGAGAACTTTGTTGATGAAGATGAAGGGTGGCAGTCTTCAGTATGGATTACAGCCTAATGGAAAGAATGCCGAAATTCTCATAACTGGACCAGTCGGTAACATCATAGTAAACAGAAAAGATTGAAGTTGTCAAGGATTTCTTCTTGCTGAGCCACAATCAGTGCTCAGGAAAGTAGCAGTCAAGAGATTCTGCTCGAGGCCTCTTTACAGTTGGAAGACAAGGATGTTACTTTGAGGATGTTACTTTAAGGTGTGACTGGCCCAAGTCATGGTATTTTCATTCTCCTCTCATGCATGTAAAAGTCGACTTTAAATAAGGAAGACGGAAGAAGAATCGATGCACTTGAGTTATGGTGCCATGGACTGCCAAAAGAACAAACAAATCTGCCTTGGAAGAAGTACAGCCCGACTGCTCCTTAGAGGGCTGGATGGCAAGACTTCATCTCACACACTTTGGACATGCTGTCCGGAGAGACCAGCCTGGAGAAGGACAGCCCGCTTGGTAGCAACGTAATGGGGCGGTGAAGTAGAGAAAGACCTCAACAGGACGGATGGACACTGGCTGCGTCAGTGGGCTCACACATAACAATTGTGAGGATGGCGCAGGACTGGGTGGTGGTTTCATTCTGTTGTGCCCCTGGTTCCTATGAATAGGAACTAAGTGGGTGGCCCCTAAGAACAACCGTTCTCCTTCACCCTCAGCTATTGATCTAGGCTCCAGACAGTTGCCTTTAACACGCTTGTTTTCACTAGTCCCTAGCTGTCCGCTCCTTCCAGGTTAATGCCTCTGTTTCCTAGAGGAGATGGACAAGGTTGAGTGCCCCTACTCTAGTGGCTGCTACGCACTTTGTACCAGAAAAGGTTGTTTGTTCTGGACTTTGACTATTCTTTTTAGTGTTCTCTAGGGTTCTATGAAGAAAACGTTTATGAACCTACCACCCTCTGTCTTTTTTCCACTAAAATCCCACACTCTCTTGCCCATATTTGACCTCCACCAATTTCATATTTTATATAGCTGAGCTTTTTAGAAATAATTTTAGGGGCTCATACAACTCTTATCACAATCCATACATACATCTATTGCATAAAGCACATTTGTACAGTCATTGCCCTCATCGTTCTCAAAACATTTGCTCTCCACTTAAGCCCCTGGCATCAGCGTCTCATTTACCCACCTCCCTCCCCCAGCTGAGTTGTTTTTAACTATCTCCAGCACTGTTGCTTGTCTAGTTCTGAGCTAGTTGGACATCCTGCAGCCTCAGCTCTCTGTTTTTAACAAAACCACGGACATAAGACTTTGAGACACCGTCAAACCATTTCCACAGTAGCTGCACCATTTCACTAAAGGGCCTGGTTTTTCCATCGCATTGCAGTCACTCATTATGTCCTGATCATAGCCATCCTACTTGGTGTGAAGCAGTATTTCATTATGGTTCTGATTTTCACTTCTGATAACTAATGATTTTGAGCATCTTTTCATATTTTTATTGGCCATTTGTAGATCCCCTCTGGAGTAATGTCTGCTCAAATCCTGTGCCCATTTTTCGATTACGCTGTTTCTCTGTTGTTGTTCCTCTTGGTTCATTTTCAATACCAAAAGCTACCTTGTTAAAGTCTTAAATTTTTATATGATTCTTTTTCATATTTCTTGAAATGGCTTGTTCTTTGCTTGTGTTTTCAAAACCAGTTCATGTTTCCTAAGACGAGACTGTGCTAGACATTGGGCATATAGAAACGCACACGAGGCAGTTTGTGGCATCAAAGCATTTGTTGTTTTCGTGTGCCATTGATTCCCGGTCTTCCTGACTGTGTGTACAACAGAATGACACATTGCCTGGTCTTTTGCCATTCCAACAGTTGTTGCAAGCCACTGTGTAAATCCGTCTCATTGAGGGTCTGGTTCTTTTCCACTGACCGTTTGTTTACCAAGCATAGTGTCCTTTTCCATGGACCGGTTCCTCCTCTAAGCTCAGAGTATGTGAGACAGAATCTTCTCATCATCAAGGAATTTATAGTCCAGTAAATGGTCACAGCACCTTTTGGTCAGTTTCTGTGTCCCTTTGAGAAATGGAAAAAAGGAATTAACTTCAGATCCTCCCTTTAAATTGTGTGTATGCACCACTATAATTTATCAGTATTACTATATACATGGTAAATTGGGCTCAAATGTTTATATATGGATCTTATGCATTTGGAGATTCCAATTTCTAGAGCAGTTTATAGATTTTTTTTAATGAGCTATTTGTTGACTAGTCACCCTGGTGGCGTAGAGGTTACGCGTTGGGTTGCTAACCACAGGGTTGGCAGTTTGAAACCACAAGCTGCTAAAGTCTCACAAGCATAGGGACAGTTCTACCCTGCCCTTTAGGATCACTGTGAGTCAGAATCAACTTGATGGTAGTGAGTTTGAATTTCTTTGATGTGTCAAATTGACCTTTTTCTTATAATAACACTTTATGATGTTAAAATATAAAGTGCTTATGTAAAAGATACAGGCCTTTTATTTAGTGTGAATGCTTATATTTTTATTATTAGAACCAGATCAACAGTAACCATCTCCGAAGAGCAGAGCAAGAGGTGGTCAGCCTGCAGGAGAAGGTGCAGTGTCTTTCTGCACAGAACAAAGGACTACTTACCCAATTGAGTGAGGCCAAGCGTAGACAGGCAGAGATTGAATGCAAGGTAAATTTGTCAACTGCTAATTTGTTTTTGCTAAATGTAATGTTTGTTTAACTCATTCTGATCACATTATGTTTAAGCCATTCTGATCACATTATGTTTAACTTAAAACTGCATTGACATGAGTATTTCTCTATAAATATTCTTTTGACCTGTAGCCATTTAAAACCAAAACTTGTAACATCTTAAATCAACAAGACAGGTAATTTAGAGCCCTGAGGACTCCTGGACTTTGATTAATATTATTGGTAGCCATCAGCATTATATATGTTTTCTGCATAGATTACAGAGCAAACAAATGTATGGGTCAGTGAGATGAGAAAATTGGGTATATTTCCAGAATTATTTTAAAATCAGTCCTCTTGTTTCTTTTTAGGATGTGTTTGCATTCATAAAGCTATAGCTCTATCAGAATGCAAGCTCATTTTCACTGACACAGTGAAGCAGTGGTGACAAAGGAGGGATTTGTGGGGTGGAGAAGAAGCAGTGTATGTGGGTGGGTGTGTAAGAAACAAAACAAACAGTTGTAGTTTAAGCATTAGAATGGACTACTTAAGACAAATTAAGGGTTTTTTTAAAACCTAGTTATCCATTCTTTCCACAATGAGATAGGAGGAAAGATGCCCTTTAAAGATTCCAACCTTATTATTCTATGATAAGAAATAAGACTTTCAATGGCACATATAAAGCTGTAATTCCATCAACTTGTTCTGGTGTCATGAAAAACCAAGAGTGAAGCTTGGGTGGTTTATCAGTGTCACTGAAATCCAGAGATGAAATTACATCCTAATAAATATGCATGGCTGTTGCAATTTATACTGACAAAAATCTGTAGGCAGTACTGAAATTGGTGCTAATTTGAATTGTCCCTCCTGAAGACTCTGACTAGACTAATTTAAAAATGGAATGATGTGAAGTGAGGTTTATCGGGGTTTTTTTCATACCAGTATTCCATTGAGTTTTTCATGATACTATATTGTCTCTGCTGATATATAGTTAAAATTAATATTTTTTCATTGTTGGTATAAGTTTTTCTATGTTTTGATAAGTGTTCCTGAATTTAATATGGCTCCTCAAATATTTTGGCATCTCTTAATCAAAGTAAAGTATTCTTTGGTAATTATTGGGGAATTTGCTGATGAAAATTATTTTCTTTGAATGTTTTCAAGTATTGGACAGATTTAGTGTTAGAGGATTGTATTAAGAATGGATATATAATCTTATAGAACTTTAAATTCTTTGGTATACCTCTCTGAGCTATGTTATAGATACTAACACTGATCTCTTCCTCTGTATTTATCCTACATATTGATTTATGCAATCTTTTATACTGGCTTTTACAGATTTCATAGTGACCAGAGTGCTAATTATCCACCCCAGCACCCAGTACATTGTGATTAAATGTATGCATTCTACCTTGTGTTGGAACTATTCAAGAACAAACCTGATCTTTACAAGGAAGCCAGTTTTTAATCATTTTTATTTAGTTTATATGATGTTATGATTATGGTTTATGACTTGATAATTTTTAAAGCTCTATTATTTATATAAAGTATTAGAATAATGTATTAATTATCTTCCTTCTACAACTAAATTTGAGTGTTTCACTTAAAGATGAAATGTGTAGGGGGACGACACCAGAGACACAGTGTGGGAATTGCACCTGATCTGACC